GGGGGGGGGGGGAGCGGTGGAGGAAGCGTAGGAGGGTGGCGTGGGCAGGGCGAGGGTCGGAGGGCTGGTGGCTCTGTCCTCCCGACCTCTTCGCTGAGGTGTCATTCACGTGCCACACGTACAAAATTCGCCCGTGCCGTCCGTCAGCTCTAACCGATGTGCAGGGTTCTACAGCCGCCCCGCGTGCCCGCGCGCGCCACCTGCTGTGTGGGGCGTTTCCTACGCGCACCGTGGACACGCGACAGCGCTGCGCGCCCGGCGCCTTTCACGAGCCGGGGCGTCCGTGCGCACTGCCGGGCTCTGGGACCGCGGGCGAGCGCTTCGCTGCCCTCCCTGGCACCGCGTCCTCGGCCGCTCCTATGCGGCGGCGGAAGGAGACTTCCTGGGTGCAGAACAGCGAGACCGGGAGGACCGGGCCGGGGTCCGGGTGTAGGTTTGGGGTGGGAAGGGGGCCGCCCGCATCCCGCGGGAACCCCTGGTGAGCGGCCCGGCCGGGCTCGCGGAGGCACAGGGACGCCCGCGAGGGTCGGCGGCGCCTGGCTGCGTTGCGCTCCCGGCCGCAGGGGGCGTCCGGAGCGCAGCCCAAAGCCCTCCGCGGGTTGCTAGGCTGCCATTTGGCGCTAGGATGGGTGAGGCGCTGATTGGTGGGGTCTGGACGAGGCGGCTGTCGGGTGTCGCAGCGACTGGGCCACAAAAAGCGTACCCCGGAGCTGTCGTCGCCAATTGGCCCCGAGAGCACCGGAAATGCCTGCGCACTGGACAGAAGAGACTGCACTCAAAGGCCGGGGGCACCGCTCATTGGGCCGACGCTGGAGGCGTGTCTCGACCCGTTCGGTGATTGGGCGTGGGCCTAGCAGAGACGGCACCGGCGCGGTGATTGGACGCTGGGACCCAGCGGCCGCGGCGCGCAATCCGAGGAAAGTCAGCGCAAGCTGCATGGGGCGGCGGCGGCGCAGGGTGGACCGGGGAGCCGCGGTCGGGGCCTTGCCCGAGGCCATCGCCGCGCTGAGTCGGACGCTGCCCGCTGGGCCCAGCCCCGAGATCTTCCGCCGCGCCAAGTTCGACCGTCCGGAGGCGGTGAGGCCCGCGGGGCAGGGGGCCGGGTCGGCAGGAGCCGGGGAGGACGCAGGGTGGCGGCCGGCCCAGCTGACTGTCGCTCTTCGATCCCCGCAGGCCCCGGCGCTCTGGCAGCTGCTCTTTCGCGTGCTCTCGCCGCTGTCAGCCAACGGCGCCTCGGCGCCCGCAGCCCAGGGTAAGCCCCGCTCCGGGGAGGCCCTGGCTCCGCCCACTCACGCAAGTCCCGCCCCGTTCATCACTCCCTAGAGTGAGCCTTGCCCCGTGGGCCCTGGCTCCTCCCACTCGCCTCGCTGGGTCCCTCTCCTGTAAGGCCCCCTGAACGGCTAGCCCCGCCCCCTTCGAGCCCCGCCCAGGTGGGCCATTGCCCCGCCCGCCCACCAGGGGCCGTCCAACTCACGCAAGCCCCTCCCCGGTCGAGCACGTCCAACAGTAAGCCACGCCCTGTTGGCCTTCGCTCCTCCCACTCACATCACGAGGTCCGCCTCTTGTAAAGTCCCAAACTGGTTAGCCCCGCCCCCCTGGCAAGCCCCGCCTCAGGCGGGTCCTGGCTTCACCCGGTCCACCACGCTCCCAGCTCTGGCAAAGCCCCGCCCACCTCATAAGCCGTGTCCCCATTAGCCTTGGCTCTCTCATCCTGTAAGTCCCCCGATTGTCCCCTCCTAAACCTGGCCTCTGCTTGGGGGTCATGCGGGGGTCCCTAAAAGGTCTGGTGGCGCACTCCTAATGGGTGGCTCCCTGGAGCAGGCGAACCCCCATCTACAGAGGCCCAAGTCCGAGTGGTGAAGTCGGAGCTGCACTCCCAGGGCTACCCCAGGCGGGCGCTGGCACAGCTCCCTGAGGACGGCTCCCGGGGCAGTCGCGAGCTTCTGCTGGCCTTGGCCTGGCTCCTGGCCCGCGGGCCCCTGCTCGAGCGGCTGCTGGCCCAGACCCGCGTGCGGCTGGGCGACGAGATACCCCTGTGCGAGGTGGGTGTGGGGTGAGAGGGAGTGGGGCCGGGTCCTGGCTAGGACCCTGGATGCGGCCTGGGACAGCCCTGTGGGGTGGGTGTCGCCCTCTCCACTGCTCTCTCCTCCTCCCCTGCCCTTCCCTCGGGGGCAGTGTTGGGTGTGTGCTCACTGGACGTGGGTGTGTGGCACCCCTGAGGACCATGGCACTCATTCCAGGGGCCTCTTTTCCTGGGGTCTCTGCTGGGGGTGTGGGAGCAGGGCGTGACCCTTGTCCCTCTCTAGTGTGAAGCCCTGGCCAGGCCTGGCCCCCCTGTACCCCGTGTGGAAGCAGATGGCCCTGTGGACATACGCCAGTTGCAGTGGCTGATGGGAAAGCTGCGGTTCCAGTGGCGGAAGCTGATCACCAGTCAGCAGGAGCAGTGTGCCCTCCTGGGCAAGGTACTGTCACCAGGGACTGTCCCCCGGGGACACTTACTGTACTTACTGTCCATACTACAGGCTGGAGCCTGGCCTTTGACTGGATGTGGCCCTTCCCAAGCCTGGCTGGGAGCTGACTGGTTGGCCACTGCCCTGTGGTGGCCCAGAGCCTGAGCCCAGGGCTCCAGGTGGTCCAGGAGGGGTCATAGGGCAGGTGGAGCTGGGCATCACTGGGGCCAGGAGCCTGTGGGGTTGACTTTCCTGTTCCCGGAAGTCATCAGAGGCCTCAGACTCTGTCTCTGAGCCACGAAGTAGGCTCTGGGTGCTGTGGGAGCCGCTGCTGCCTGGGCATGTTTTGGGAAGGAAGGTACCCCCTCCTGCCACATCCTGGGTGAAGGCTGATGGGCAGCGGGCGGCTTCTGTAGAGTTCCCGAAGGCCACTAAGGCTCAGCTGTGGGGCACAGGTCACCCTTACAGGTCCAGTGCAAAACCTGGGCTGAGAGGGGGTTGGGCGGGGGGCCTCAGACTCCCACCGATGTAGGGCTCCTTGATGCTGGGACCCCCCCCACCCTGCACGTCTGCCCCTGCAGGGGACCTGTTCATCCCTCAGCTCTTCTCCGGAGCTGTGTCGCTCCGGCTCGGACTGGGCTCCTGTCACTCCTCCTGCTTGGGACATGGCCACCAGTGACCTCCGTGATGCCTTGAGGCCGGACCTTGCTGGGAAGCCTTCCCTGTCCCCCAGGTCCAGACAGTCACTCTGTGTCCTTGCCATTGTCTTCACTGGATCTCCTAGCCTGTCCAGGGGCTGTTTCTCCCACCACACGGACCTGGCAGTCAGTGAGCTTAGAAGCAGGGATGCCCGATTCCAGTTCCACCACACCCCTGGGAACTGGGCAGGATGGGGAAGCTGTAGGCGGCACTGCCCATACCCCACTCTCTGCAGGAGCCTCCGGCAGGGCCCAGGGCCAGCTCCCCAGTGGTGCTGACTATTGTCCTGAGCCTGACCCTGGCCTGCCCTGACCACCTTGGCCAGGCATGGCCCATTTTCCTCGTCTGCAAGGCAGGCCCCCAAAGCCTCACCTGGAGCTGGGAGAGGCGCCCCTTCCTACTCAACCTGGGGTTCACGCTGCCTGTTTCAGATCCACTCATACACCCGCGGCTGCCACAGTGACCGCAGCCTTGATCACCTGTCTGTTGCTGAGACCGAGCTGCTCAGGGACGCGGAGGGCGGCCAGCAGGTGAGGGCTGGTGCGTGTCGGTGCCATAGGACTGCAGACGGCGTGAGGTGGTGGGGGTCGAGGTGGGGAGGGTCCTGGGAGGGAGGACCCAGGCGACCGGCTTTGAGCTGTGGGTGACTGCCCAACTCACCATCTCGCTGGTGGGGGGTCCCAGACATGTCCTCAGGGCCTCCCCCAGCTCCCAGACCATCCGGTGTTGCAGAAATCCAGGTCACGTGGCCGTGTGTGTGCGTGTGGCTGGGCACAGTTAGCGAGGGAGGGGGGCTGGTCTAGCGTGCCCCGTCCTTCGCTGACTTTCTTTTCAGGACGCCCCCGTCTGTCATTATTGTTTCCTTCCCTCAGGCTGGCATGGCCAGGACGTCCTGGGACAGGCCCAGGGCTGGCTGTCACTTGACGGTTGGGCTCTGGCTGGTCCAGAGTGTGAGGCTGGCACTGTCCAGCCTGGGGGGCACTTGGCCAGGCAGGTGGGCTGAGGCTCAGGGCTGGTGTGGCCCCTCTTGCCAGGCCCAGCGGACCCCAGCTCGGGAGGTGTGTGCTTTCAGAGAGTTGTGCCTCCCTTTGTGGGGTTGGGGCAGCCACCGTGGGGGGCGCTTGCCAGGCCTGCAGTCCTGGCCAGCACGTGGCCAGCCCTCCCAGGCAAGGCTGCGCGCATTCTCTGGAAGTGCTGAGGCGGTATCTTGGCGACCTGAGGTGCCCTCGGCCAGGTCCCCTCTTACGGGTGACTCAGCGAGGCCCAGGCTTCCTGCCCTTGGTCCCTCTGGGTTGGAGCAGGGCTGAGGCTGCGCCGGCTTCAGCCAGATGTGGCCTGGGGTCCCGGTCTCTGTGGTGGTGGTGGGTGGGAGCCCGTGGCACCCCCCCACCCCTGAAGCTGGGGCGTGCGGGCGCCTCTGGACTGCAGACGGCGTGAGGTCGTTGGGGGTCACGGTTGGCTTCCTCCCAAGGTTTCTGGAGGGGTTGCTGGCAGAAGCCCGGATCGGTGTACCCAAAGAGCCCGCACTCTTGGGATGGGTCCCAGAAGCTTCTGGAGTGATCTATGGTTGCTGTGTGAGTGGCCAGGTGTGCTGCGGAGTAGCTGGACAGTGAGCGTGCTTGGTTACTGGCCGGACCTGCAGCCCTTCTCATGTCCCTGTGCCTCCCCGCCTGCCCTGGCCACAGCGCAGTGGCGTGCGGCGGGGAGGTGGCTGCCTCAGGAGACTCCAGCACGGGGCCTGCACGTGGGGGGACAGTGGGGGCGTGTTGCCTCTTCCTGCCGTGCCTGCCCTCCTTCCCATAGCCTGGGAGGTGGGGAGCACCTGGGGACCGTTCCACATTCACTGTGCGTACGCGTACCGGGACGTGGGTGCACCTGGCACCCTCCGGGCTCCAGGCCGCTCTCCCCTGGGCCCACAGAGTGGTTCTCTCTGTGCCTGGCTTTACAGCGATGGGCTGGGTCCTTGGCTTGGCATTCAAGGCCGCTCCCCACCTGGCCTCCGGACTCCTGGAGCCCCAGGTTCCTGCTGCAGCAGCAAGCAGGCCCCTGGTGGCTCGGCTGGCAGCCTGTTTGCTGTTTGCAGGGGCAGAGCAGGGGTCCCTTCCCGGCCAGGGGAGACCCTGGGTCACGGGTGCCTGTCGTACAGGGCCCGTGCACTGGCCCTCCGTGAGCGGTGGCTTGTCAGAGCTCTTGTGGGGCCACCGTGCTCTGGCCCTTTGTCCTGGCCTCAGAGCATGCTGCTGCGTTCCCAGGAAGCCCGGCGCACCTGTCTTCCAGAAGGAGCAGTGCCTGTGGCCTGGATGGTAGGCTGGTGGCTGCCTTCAGAGAGGGGCCACAGCAGGTGCAGGCCTGTGGCTTCCTGAGGGGGCAGAGGGGGCGGGATGGAGCGGGTTGGGGGGGGGAGGCCTCAACAGCACCTCCCCGGTGGGTGGGCCCCCTGGTGGTGGAGGCCGAGGCTGGGGCAGGTGCTGCTGCGCTCCAGCGCGCGGCCACATGTTCCTGCGGGGTCTGCAGGTTTGGGGCTGCGTGAGCCGGGCACGGGGCTGTGCGGGGTGCAGCTGGGCCCTGCATGCCGGTGCCCAGGCCCAGCCTCCGCCCTGCCTTCCTGAGGTTATACAGAGGGTTTCCCGCCCCGAGAGCCTGGCAGGCTGCCCCTTCTGGGACCTCCTCATCTGCCTACAGTCTCCCCGGTGCAGCCCCCCAGTCAGTGAGGGATGTGGGGCAGAGGTCCCGAGTCGGCGCTTGGGCTCAGCCCCTGACCCTGTGGGGACGGTGGGTGTCTCTGAGGCCCCAGCCTGGAGGTGGGGCTGCCGTATCCTGCCCGCAGGGGGGTGGCTCTGCCATTGCGGGGCCAGGGGGACTGGTGAGCATGGTGGTCGGGTGCTCGGTGCTGGGGGTCCCAGGTGGGGTTCTGACCCGGCCACGGTTTATGGTCTGCTTTGCAGATGCTTCGGAGGCTGGAGAGCGAGAATGTGCGCCTGGAGGCAGCCCTGCATTGGAGGCGCCAGGAGCTGGTCTTCTGGCGGTGGATGGTGTGACTGGCTCCCCTCCCTGTCCCGGCCTTGACCACGGCAGCCCCGGGGTGGGGGCGTCTTCCTAGTTCTCGGACAGGAAGAGGAGGTTGGGGGAGGCCACAGACACACCCAGCCACCAAGCTGGCTTTGCAGGCCGGCTGGCTCTGACTCTCTGCCTCTTTGCGGATGTCTGTCTGTCCGTCGCCTACCCTGCCCGGCTGCTGGGGAGCCCAGACTCCTCAGGGGTCCACAAGTCTGGGTGCCTCCCTGGCTTCCAGCTCACTGTGCCACCGGTGGAGGGGGGGGTGGGGGGTGGCCGCTGCCGCCGGGCCTCTATGCCCTCTGTCCCCGTTGGCTGAGGGGCTGGACCTGGGGTCGAGGCCCGGACAAGCTGCCTGCCACTCACTCGGTCTCTCTCCGCAGGACACAGTCCTGGGCACCTGCCCTCCAGAGGCCTCGCAGCCCACGTTTGTGCCGCGGATCCCCGAGCGGGGGGCTGGCGAGTGGGAGCTGGTGGCCCGCGAGCTGCAGGCCCTACGGGAGGAGTTGCGGGGAGCCGCGGAGCCCCGGCGGGCAGCCTGGGAGGCCAGGGTGAGAGGGCTGGGGGCTGGTGTTGGGGCCGAGGGGGCCCGAAGGCCGTGTCCTGGGCAGGATGTGGCCGCCCCTGGTTCACGAGCTGCCGTCTGCCCCGTGCAGGTTGGAGGCTGGGGGCCCGAGTGGAGTGCGGTGCAGCGGGCCTCACGGGAGGCCGTGGGACTCGAGCTGGCAGCTCTTCAGCGGGCCTGGGAGCGAGGTGGGGCCGCAGCCCAGCCCCACGGGCCCTGCCGGCTGGTGAAGAGTGACGCCGGAGCCTCGGGGGGCCCAGGCCTGCGGGCGGCCCAGGTGATTGAGGTGCTGAGGAGCCGGGAGGCCTGCCTGGAGGCAGTGCTGTGCCAGCTGCAGAGACAGTGTCGGCAGGAACTGGCCAGGCTGGCGGGAGCCCTGCCCGGCCTCATCTGGATCTTGCCACCCGGTCGTTGAGGCCCTGTGCCCGCCTCGAGGGGGAGCTGCCCTGACCCGCCCCGGTTGGGCCTCGGAGGGGCAGATTTCAGGGTGGTGGCAGGGACGACGCAGACACAGGGCCCCAGGCATGGTCTCCCTGAGCCCTGGGGCTGTCCCCACCTGGGGCAGAGCCCAGCCCCTTGGCTAGTAAAACTGGGGGCAGGCATGACAGGCCCAGTGTGGAGTCCATGGGCCCTCAGGACCAAGAGAGGACCCAGAAATAAGTCGTAGAGACCTCCCTGCAGGGGTGAGGCTCTGTTCTGGCCCTCCCTCTGCCACCCTTCCAGGTTCCTATCTGGGGCAGGTTGGGGAGGGTCCGGTCTGTGCTCGGGCCCAGGGGAAGGGGACCCTGGGGGGTGGTTGCCGAAGCTGGGCTGGTCCAGCGCTGCCCAGGTGCTGGCGGGTCAGGCATGGCCTGCAACACGGCGTGGGGATCGGGGTCCCTTCGGGGGATTGCCCCGCATGCCCCCTACACACTGTGCCCCGTGCCCCTACTGCACACCCCGCCCTGTGGGTGCCTGGTGTGTGCGTGGGGGGCAGGGACGCCGGCTGGGAGCCCGGGGGTAGGGGGCTCTGCTCCTCTCCTGGGAGCGGTGCTGGGGGTGAGGGGGAGGCCACTGTGGACAGAGGGGGCTTTGTTCCCGAGACCGGTCGGGGAGCTGGGCTCGGCCCTGACAAAGAGCCATCTGTGTCTGGGGGATGCGCCCCCAGCTTGCCGGAACAGGCCCCCTCCATCCTGGGGGCTCAGCCTCTCGGCACCCCTCACCCAGCAGGCGCAGACAGCCGCGTCCCTGCCTCCCTCGCCAGGCTCCCCTGTCCTAGGGCGGTTGAACCCCAGGCTGCTGCTGGGCGGGCCTAGGGGCCTGTCCTCGGCCTCCTGCTGCCAGCCAGTTCAGGCCCGAGGACACTTCCACGCCTGGGCCCTGCAAGAACATTCTCTCACTGGCTCTTCCTGCCTGGCTGGCGTGTTGCTGGTGTTGCCTGGTCTCGGCCAGCCTGCCCCCACCCCGACCCCCGTCCCTTGGGGGCGTCGGGTTCTCCCCTCCCCGCACGGCCCCCTCCCAGCTCCTCACGTGCTCCAGCTGTGGCCCGGGGCCTGCGGGGCCCCGGCCCTCCACCTGTCGCCTCAGTGTGTGAAGTCACTTCTAGAACCCCTGCCTGCTGGGCCCTCCGCCATCCTCCTAGCCGCTGGACAGGACCCTTCCTGGAAACAAGTCACTCAAAGCTCCCTGTCCTCTGTGAGTGCCATTGAGTCAGGACACCCACTGGCCCCCGAGAACGAATTTTAGAAACCAAATGCAAACTCGGTGTTCTGGAGCTGTCCCTTCTCAAACTGCTCTGTGGATCCAATACAGCCCACTCGAGACCCCACGTGTGTCTGTGTGTCTGTGGGAGTTCGGCGCGGATTCTGAGAGACACGAGGTGCCACAGGCCAAGTCGGGGGGAAGCGAGGCACACTCGGTGGTCCAGGGAGCAGGCTGGGCTCTGACATTGGCTCCTACTGTTGCCGCCACGTTAGCACGCGCTTAGTGGCTCAGAAGCACAGAAGCATGGCCGCCTTCCTGTAGGCGGGGCCGCAGCCATCACGGTCCCCGGCCCCCAGCCCCGGTCAGGGACCTTAGTCCTCTTCTGCACGTGACATGGCAGGTCCGCAGGCCTGCGGCAGGGCCTGGGCGCCACCCAGCCCCCTGCGGCCCCACGGAACAGATGCAGGCCTGGCCCAGCTAGCTCGAGTACGCGGGTTCTGCCTGGGACAGGCCCGTGCTGTGGGGGCCCAGGGTTCCCCATGGAGATGTGAAGGCAGAGCAGCCCGTGGGGGCCCAGGACCCCATACTCCACTGGCCCCCATGGACGCCAGAAACTTCTGCTTATCGGAGACCTCGTAAAGACCGGGAAAGACAGGCCACGGGAGAATCCGTTGGCAACACTTGTAACCTGTGAAGAGAGGGTAGAGGAAACGGTTTTGAGGAAGACAGAGCGGGCCTGGGGCAGGCACCACGGGGAGGAGGAGACGGGGTGGTGATGTGCCCGCAAGCCGCTGGGTGGGCGCAGGGCCCGCGCAGGGCAGGGGCTGGCGGGCCTGGGCCAACGCTGGGGACGGCCGCCCGGCAGCCGAGCCAGGAAGAGCAGACTGTGGGCGATGCCGTGGCCAGGACTGGGAAGGTGAGGGGAAGTACAGACGGGCCGCAGAAGGTGACGCACGGGGAGGCCATGGGGAAGAGCCCAGTGACCATCACAGCAGGGCAGGGCTGCGGTCTGTGTCCCCTGCTCCGCGGGCCTGTGTTCACAGGGATCCGTAGCACCTGTGCTGGCCTCCTCCCGTGTTTTATCCACTGCGGCACCGACAGGACCTCCGGCGAAGCCCTGCCCGTGAGCGCGTCTGCACTTGGCCTCTCTCGATCACGGCATCCTGTCCCTGCTCCAGCGCCTGGGTCCTTCTGGCCCTGACCTCACTGCCCAGGGCTGGCTTTCTCTCCCTTCAGGGCACGGCCTCCTCACCCTCATTGGTCGACCTTGGCCGGGCCTGGGCTTGGGGCGCGGCGACTGGACCAGGCCCTCCAGGACCCTTTGGGGCTCGTGTCTCCAGGGGGACACTCGCGGGGTGTTCCCGGGATGGGGTACTTCTCAGCGGCACTTATGGGGTAAGTTGGGTCCGAGGGGCGCAGCTGGTGATCTGGTCCACATCCCCCCCCCCCAGTCCTCGCCTGCGGTCGTGGCCTCCAGCCCTGCACCTGCCCCACGTTCCGTGTCCCCCCAGGGTCTTGGGTACTGAGTGTGGCCAGCTGCCCTCCTCCCCTCTCTGTCCCTTCTTGGCTGAGCTCACCGTTGGTGAGCAAGGAGTCACTTGGTGCCTGAAGTGTGCCTGCCCTGGGGTGGGGGCCAGAGACCTGGACGAGGGGCACCTAGTGTCCCAGGAGGGTGGTGAGACAGAGGAAACGGGGTGCACTGGGGGCAGCACAGGCACTCGGAGGGGGCGGGGAGGGGTGGGGGCTGTAGACTCCTGTGGCCCAGGCAGGCTTTGCTGGGACGCGGGGCTCAGGGCTTCGTTCCCACAGGCCCCCTCCGCTGCTGGGGCTCAGCAATGAGGTGGGCGGGGAGTGGGGGTGCCAGGCTGGGGCCAGGCCAATGGCAGTTTTGGGGTCTGGGTCTGTGGCTGTCTTGGTTGTGGGGCCTGTGAGGTGATGGCTGATGTTTTGCCTTCTGGGTTGTTTAGATTCTTTATTTATAATACCCAAGATTTTTTCCCCCTCCTTTTTGGGGGACAATTTTTATTTTTCTTTCTTTTTTTTCTTTCTTGGTGGCGAAAAGCTGATGTTAAATGTATGATCTTAACCATTTTTAAGTGTATGGGTCAGCAGTGTTGTGTGCATTCACACTGCTGTGCAACAGATCCCCAGAACCTTCTCCTCTCCCTTCTGTGCAACTCTGTCTCCATTAAACACTCACCCCCACCCGTCCCCAGCCCCAGGCACCCCCATCCGCTTTCTGTCTGTATGGATCCGACTCCTCTACGGACCTCTGATGTGTAGATTACACGGCGTTTGTGTCGCTCAGGAAAATGTGCTCGTGGTTCATCCACGTGGTAGCAGGTGTCAGAATTTCCTTCCTTGGAATAACGTGCGGTAAGATTCCATTTATCGAGACACCACGTTTTCTTTATCCATTTCCTTCCTGCTGTTGGCCGCAGCGAACAGGGGTGTGCAAATATCCCTCCTTCTGGTGATGGAGGCGCCCGCGCAGCCCCAGAGACACTGGCACGTGAGCCGGGTCCAGGGACCAGATGAGCATGGGGCTCGTTTCCCTGGGGGGACTCGACTCGGCAGCGGCGGGCGGCTGTCCCCCGAAGTCAACGTCCCGGAGTTTCAGACCTCACGCTGGCCACTGCCGTCCGAACTGGCTGAGCCACGCGGACTTCGGCCTGGCATTTCCTCTCTTTTCATCACAGCAGCTGCTGTAGAACCAGCTTTGCAGAGATACCGCAGAAAGGAAAGCAGAGCGGTCCGGTCCGCCATCCACGAGGGGGTGTCCGGCTCGTGGCGCTCACCTGTTTCCCTCAAAATTCACGACACCTTGTGCTGCCCCTGAGGATCCGCCGTGGCGCCCGGGGGTGCCTAGACCCACGGTTTGGGAACTGCGGCCCCCACCAACGCCGGTGTTTGTGGCCTGCATTCCGTCTCTCTCCACGTGGTGCGGGTTTAAAGCCTTGTGCGCAACTCACCGCCGCTTCTGGCTCTAGTTTCCACTTGGTGGCTCAGCCAGAGGAGCAGAGCCGGAGGAGATTCGACGGAAGCATCCTGAGATGGCTGCAGTTTCATTGCGGCCCCGGCGTTGACGCCTCACCCCTCGGCAGCGGGGAGGGGCAGGTGTCCTTATTCTCCCGCCGCAAGGGTGCAAACCCAAGGTTTCTCCATCAACCGCTGCTTTCCGTGCATGGAGTTTGGTAACATTTAATTAACTAATTTAGAGCAAGTGCATTAGTGGGGGAGGGGCAGAGAGGGAGGGAGAGAATCCCAAGCAGGCTCCGCGCTGTCTGCTCAGAGCCCGACGCGGGGCTCGATCCCACAACAGCGGGATCATGACCTGAGCCGAGATCAAGCGTCTGACGCTCAACCAACAGCCACCCAGGCGCCCCTGGTTTTCTAACGTTTAGAAAGTTCTCTTCCACTCTTAATTTCCTAAGAGCTTTTTCAGAATCATGAACTTCATTCATCAAGACAATCTTATGATTTTCTCCTTCACCCGTTTGTAATGAAATACATTAACTACACCACACGCTTTCCCAAGTTGAGCCATCCTTGTATTCCTGTAAGTAGCCCTGTTTGATCACGACGTTTACCTTTTTTTTTAATGTTTATTTATTTATTTTTTGAGAGAGAGGGAGAGAGAGAGCGAGCTCAAGCAGGGGAGGGACAGAGAGAGAGGGGGAAGGAGGACCCAAAGCGGGCTCTGCACTGACAGCATGAGCCTGATGCGGGGCT